GTTTCCATCTTCCTGCACACAGCAGAGAAGGGTTATCTCTATTTGTGGTTTTACACTGAAAAGTGACTAAGAAAAGGAAAAAGCACCCTGAGTTTGATGCTTCCAAACAGCTTCACACAGAATTAGCCTGGTTTAGTAATAGCTGAGGTTTGGGGTGTTATTTTCTTTTAAATGCCACCCCACATGAGATATCTGCCAGGTTTCTGAAAGCTAAGCCAGATCCTTCTGAGCTCAAGCAGTAGGTATTCAATCAACCGTGATGAATGTGATGCTTGTGACTTTCTGTGGAACATAAAACAGCCTGGCTGCTCCTTCCATGCAACCAGTGTTCTGCAAAAAAACACCAAGGGTTGAGCAAATCTGGGGATGGGGCCCAAAAGAGCAGTGAGAAAAGGGAGGTGGGTCTCTGAAGACCCCTGCATGGCATGATGGATGATGACAAGAGGATGGCTCTGTGGCATGGAGGGCAGAGTACTGGTCGAAACATCAGGTACCCCACGTACTCATGGGACATAGTGTGGGGCTGCAATTTCTCCCCACTCCGAGACCCCAAGGTCACTGGACAGACTGGGTCCATGGGGGAGCTGGTCAGATATGTCAGTGTTTTCCTGGAAAATGCCCAGCACGTGAAGGAAATCAACAGCGTGTGTAAGGCTTAAATGATCTGCAGTTAGTGAAAAGAAAGACAAGGGGAAATGAGGATTGTCGGATTAATGTAAAGTGTATTGCAGAGGGAGTGGGAAGGCCGAAGGAGTGTGAGGATACTGGAGAGATTGGACTGAGGGCCTGGTCCACTGAAATAAAGACTTCCACAGTGGTCTCCAAAAAGCCAACACAGCCATGGCCTAAGCCAAAATCCAAATCTTTAGAGCCTAAATTTTGTTTCTGCATCTAAGCTTCTGGCCCATCTGCTCTGAATACCAATTTCCAATTTTCCTTGATGAAAAAGAAAGAGGGAGCAGCGCAGGACCTTGGGCTCCCTCTCAATCCCACAGACTTGCAGATTTCCAGCATCCCGGTGACCTACCAATCCTGTAGTAATCCTTGTCCAGGTCTTTGCAAAAGCCTTTCCCGCTCACCACCTCCAGGGAGTACTCAATCAGCAGCAGAACGCTCATAACCTAGCAGAACAAAAGAAAAGACACAATTCAGTGGGCCTTGGGCCAACTTCCTACCAACAAATTCATTTCCAAGGACCGTGCGATGGCCACAGTCCTAAATGCAGGATGAGTTTCCAAGTGAGGCAGTCGTGAAGGGTTTAAAATGCTGTGCAAGGAAATGTTGAGACAAAAGTTATCAGTTTATTAATGGTTTGGTTTTAGCTGTTGTATTCTGTCAGCTTCTGAAGGAGGATGGAGAAATTACAAAGTTAATGAGTTTTCCTTCAACATTTTTTATCTAGAAAGTCACGGCTTTACATTTTGAAATTGCATTTTGCTTCAGAATTGAGTTAAATGCAACAATAGCATCTTAAAGTGCAAAAAGAAACACAAAAAGAATAAAGATCTCTCTGTAAGTCTAGCTATACTACTTCACTGACAAGAAGTATAATTTTCTATCTCTTATTTGAGAAAAATCTCCAAATGTGCTTTTTCACATTGAACAAAAATTACATTCTCCAAGTTTCTGAAATGAACTATCAAGCCCCAGACTACGGGGTCCATTCCATTTTACATTTAGCAAGCTGTAGGGTGGAAGGAGGTCTAGAGCTGTGGTCTCAGTCCTAGCACTGAACTTCTATATCCAAACAGTGACGATCTGCAGCGAAAACATCAATTTCTATCCCCCAGGTTAGAGAGAGATCCTGTTGCATGTGGGGCACTGAGCACTGCAGAAAATCTCCATAAGGCTGGAGACCTCACCATGGAGCACATCAGCAAGTCTGTGGTGTTTCTGTGCAAGTAAAACCAGGAAACGAGTAGCCACAAGGCCAGACACCCCACCACATCCCTCCTGCAGACAGTCCTCCCTCAGGAGCATCTGCACCACAAACAGCACAGGCCAAGGAGACCAAACTTGCTGTGGATCTGAGAACAAGAAGTCCAAGGCCACAATGGAGCATCAGTCACTCCCCACACTGTTTTCAGAGCAAATAACTCTAATAAATAGATAATTGCTCCTCCTAATCATTTCTTAATAAATATTGCTCCTTCATCACCTTACTGATGGTTTCAGCACTGTATAGTGAGATGGCACATTTCTGACCGTGCTATGCATCTCATCTTATTCATCACTTCCTCCCTCATTCTCCAGTCTCTTCTGTCCTCCCTCACGCTTGGTCTGTCTTTCATTTCTTCTGCATTTTTAGGCTGTAGCAAGCTGGAGCACAGCGTGGTCTGCCAGTCCTACACCTACAGCTGCGATTTCCTAAAGCAGCATGGTGTGTGCTGTGTTATTTTAAAATCAGCTTAACAGTATGGGTGGCTGGGGCAGAAGCCTGCTGCTGCATTCCCTGAGGATGCAGGAGACATGGGTTTGTCACCCACAACTGTGCCTCGCTGTCTGGACAAGCTCTGTGACCTCCCTGCTGCTGTGCAGAGCTGCCACTACTCCGCTCGAGCTTTGTACCTGTCCAAGATGACCTCTTCATAGAATCATAGAATGATTTTGGTTGGAAAAAACCTTTAAGATTGAGTCCAAGCATCGAACCAGCCTCAAGTCCACCACTAGACCATGTCCCTAAGCACGACATCTCCTTGTCTTTTTAACACCTCCAGAGATGGGGACTCCACTGTCTCCCTGGGCAGCCCCTTCCAGTGCTTGACAGCCCTTACAGTAAAGAAATTCCTCCTCATATCTGACCTAAACCTCCCCTGGTGCAACTTGAGACCATTACCCCTTGATTCTATGATTCTATGAACGTGACCCATCTTCATCCCACCAACAGCGGGTCCAGCACTGGGAGCACTCATTCTGCAGACTGCCAGGGACAGAAGTCATCAGTAGAAGTACCATTAACATAAAAGGGGTTGTGATGAAGAGGTGGATGAGAGAAACCATTTTATGAGTTGCACAAACACTTTTCCACTATAACTAACAACCTTTAGTTTGAACAAGTGGTTTCAGAAGTGATGCAGGCAAGGAGGAACCGGAACTGTTGTGGTCTGTGCATTTGCAATCTTTACGTGTGGGAAAGTGCACAAAACCAGCTACTGTGGGGAGATGAGGCAAATGTAGGAGGGAGAATATTTTTTGTCCTTTGCAGAGCAGTGTGTGAGGTGCCATATGAGATCTGGAGAGCATTGACATAGGAGTAACGTTTAGTCAGATGCCTCCTGTGCTAGGGCTGACAGTGCAAGCAAACAAAACAAAGAGGCATGGAAAGGTGTCACATTGACCCAAAACGGGGAAGCAAGGCTGAGAGGAATGGCCTGCAGCAGAGACAGGAACTGAATGCAGACTCTCCCAATGTCACTACGTTAGCTGCTGGAGACTGAGAAATTATCTCCAGAACCAAATTCAACAATTTTCTGTGCCACAAGCTGCAAGTGCAGTTTCCAGAAGAGCTGTAGCACATCCCCCAGAGCCCTTTGCTTCTGGAGGGAGCGCCCACCAAGCTGCACTCTTGCTGGGGACTGGGACCTTGTGTCCTACCACAAGTGTTCCCTCTGAGTTTAAACTCTAAGCGTCTGAGTTGGAAGAAAGGATGTGTCGTGTTTTCTCCTGGCCTGTCTGATATCAGATTCTTCAACAGTTCCATGAGACACACTGGGGATTTTTTTCATATTTTTTTACCATGCAGGAAATGAACTTTGCAATTTGTTTGTGAAGCTTATAGGAAAAGGAGAACTATCTAGCTCTGACTACATGTGGACACAAGAAGGTTTATATGAGTTCAGTTTAACATAAGTTCAATGTTCAAAGTCTCATTGAAGCACTGAACCTTGTCAAAGATGAAATTGCATTGATCTGAAGTTTCTTTACACTCGATGGTCTCCCCTGTGATGTAAAGCATCTCTTAACCAACTGCACATGGAGATCACATGCTGGCTTGAAGTGCCCTGACTTGTCTGAGAGGTTTCAACGTACACGCTCCTGAAGAGATTTCGCTTCCCTTATTGCTGCTGTTGGCCAAACCCCTCAAATACCAACATAGGAAACACAGGAAGAAATTGTTTTTTCAGGTTTCTGTTAAAGGGAGGCTTTGTCAAAACAAATTACCTGGGGCCTGAACATCAGTTTCATTTCTGAAAGACAAATCAGTGAATACAGGACATCAAATCTCAAATGCTCCCGTCACAGATGGTTTTACAGCCAGAGCAGAGTAAGAGCCTGAACTTCAGTACAAAGAACCATCTCTAATGTCTACCAAAGAGGGGAACAACAGAGCAAAAGAGGCCCTGATTTCCTTGCAAATGTTGAAATGGGCCACAGACCAAATCACAGAATCACAGAATCACAGAA